ATATGGGGTGGAGACCTATTCCACAGAATCCAAAGACCTATTCCACAGAATCCAGAATGCTAAAATGTTCCAAAGCAGTAGCATCCACCCCCAAAATTCAGGTTCTATGTATCAAAAATATGTCTAGATTTTCCTCTTTACATGCATGGGAACACAATCCATTACATAGAGAAAGCATCAAAGCCCAGATTCCTTGCATCACAACATTTCCGGCTTCTTCACACCTCACAACCCCTAGCAAAGTTTGACTTACCACTTTTCAGCCTCCGGAAAGGAAAAACCATACATAAACTTGCACAGGCATACACAAAGGTATAATTTTTGCTGTGTAGTCGCTAATATATTTTCCTGGCTTAATTTGGAACTGTTATCTTCAAGGTTGGAACAAACTGCTTAAAGCTTCTTTATTATACTAACAGCTTAGGTTTTTAAAATAAAACCTTTCAAAATGGAACCTTACCATACAGTGATGCATAGCTCACTTGGTAGAGCATAAACTCTGAATCTCTGGGTTGTGGGTTTGAGCCCCATGTTGGGCAAAAGCTTCCTGCATTGCAAGGGGTTGGACTAGATGGTCCTTGTGGTCCTTTCCAATTCTATGATTCTTTAAAATAATTATACGTAATAAGGAACAAATAAGCGTAAACAAGCATTGACTTACTAGGTTGTGAAATACAGAAGTTTGTCTTTCATGCTTTTGCTTTATTAGGCTTGTCTACTTACTAGAACCGTTTTTAGATAATACTGTTTCATCGTGACCCCACCCTTGAGCCAAGATTTTATGGCCTTTGTGTCCTCACTACATCCAGTGAAAACAAATGTTGTTGGTGATCTAGATTGGTGATTTCTGTTCTTCTCAAATGTTCCCCAAGCCGAAAGGTGAAGTTGGCGAACAAACTTAGTGTCAGGGAACTGCCATCAGTGCAGGAGGGAGAGAGCAAAAGCCAGATGGATTATAGAGAGCCTCCAGGGATCGGGAGAAGTAGCTCATCTTCTGGGGAAGAGAATAAATGCAGCTGAAGTGGAGAGGAGGTGCAGGAGTCGGAAGTGGCGAGGCGGTCCCAGGACTCCTTGCCTGGGAGAAGCGAGGAGGGAAGGGGTCCTCCGCTGCCCACGCCCTCGTTGCACAGAAGGCATTCGCGCAGAGAGGGCAGGCGCAGACTGGGCGTAAAGGAGCTTCTCTGTTGGGGGAAGTTTAAGAAACGCCCACTCACGGTTTCTGCCAGCGATTGAGTCAGCCACGGGTGAGTGGGGCTCCGGACAGATAAAGTTTACTTTGGCAGCCCAGCCAGGTATTTGCAGCCAGCCAGGGAGATATTTGCCTGCTTGCTCACAAGCAACCCCTTGGAAAACATTAGATTATAACTTAGAATTCAGGATGGATTCCTGGTAGCATTCTGAACTCTTATTTGCAACATCATATTTCAAAAAGGACACTTCTGCTTTGAAACTCTGATAAACCTTTTTTTAAAAAAACAAGGCTTCTAATAGCTTTGTGAGAAGTTTATATTTTGAGGAAATCTGCAGAAGACCAATGAATTCAAGACAACAAAAGAAAACCCCCAAGTAAATAAATAAGTGAAAGGCTTGAGAGAATGGATAGCCCTTGAGTCCTTTTTAGAAAAAGTTAATAAACTAACAGTGCAATCCAACTACACGTACTCAGAAATATATCCTACTGGTAAATACTGATGAGTGAAGGATTGCAGCCTACATAACCAGCCAACCATTATGAGACCAAGTAGTTATTCAAGGTAGTATGTGCCCGTCTGGATGAAAATACAAGCTTTATCTTCATCCCAAGGTGTTATTGCAATCCTCATTCAAACGAACTCTCCGCCTAATTTCACCATAAGGATTATATTTACATAAAGTCATTGCATCACCATGTAAATAGTTTGTGGGTATTGTTTATTGTACTTTCATGTCCATTCTGACAATCCTTCTGTGGGTTTAAGAATGTTTTCATTCAGGGAGAGGGCAATGGTTTTAATTAAGGATTACTACATGAAAATTTCATAACACTTTGTTTAGCAAGGTAGTTAGAAGTGGAAATGAAATCTTTTAATAATAATTGTGTGTGTGTGTGCACGCGCTTTAATTTCTCAAGAGAGCTAGGCACACAGGTCGAACCAGAGCAAACGAGTGTGATACAGGCACAGCAATCCAAACTAAATCAATCCAGTATGCTTAGTGGCTGCCAACAATATTGTTGTTGTTTAGTTGTTTAGTCGTGTCCGACTCTTCGTGACCCCATGGACCAGAGCACGCCAGGCCCTCCTGTCTTCCACTGCCTCCCGCAGTTTGGTCAGACTCATGTTTGTAGCTTCGAGAACACTGTCCAACCATCTCGTCCTCTGTCGTCCCCTTCTCCTTGTGCCCTCCATCTTTCCCAACATCAGGGTCTTTTCCAGGGAGTCTTCTCTTCTCATGAGGTGGCCAAAGTACTGGAGACTCAGCTTCAGGATCTGTCCTTCCAGTGAGCACTCAGGGCTGATTTTATTCAGAATGGATAGGTTTGATCTTCTTGCAGTCCATGGGACTCTCAAGAGTCTCCTCCAGCACCATAATTCAAAAGCATCAATTCTTTGGCGATCAGCCTTCTTGATGGTCCAGCTTTCACTTCCATACATCACTACTGGGAAAACCATAGCTTACAATACACTGCATCCAAACCCAGCTCAGTGTTGACTGATACTGATAACAGCCAGCAGAAAGTGCCTGAGCTCAGCGGAGGACCAAATATTTGCAGCATCTCTAATGCCACCGGACACATTGCCCACCAACTGCTTCACCCCAACCCGCACATCTCACGAGTTGTGCCAACAGCAACAATTGATCTAGTCTTGCTGCCAACACTACTGCTACTTGAGGGGGCACTCTCAGCATCAGGTGGTGGTCTGCCGCCCTCCACCAAGGGTACCGCCTTCTCCGCTATCTCTAAATAAATAAATAAATACATCCCAAATTGATAACAAATCCAATCCAATCCAATCACAATCCAAACAGATAAGACCAAATTACATTTCAAATTAAAGAACATTTCAGAGGGGCTTCCCACGTTCTGGATGTCTGGAGAAATTGTCTCACACATCCCCCCCCCCCCCCCGCTTTCTTCGCTGTTGTTATGCCCGTTTCCAAATTCCGATCTTAACCTCTCAAAATATCTTCAGTCGCCGGTGCATATCTCCTCATATTAAAGAAATCATTATGTCCATTCGCCTGCCAGAACACAGTTTAAGACATGTTGTTGTCCATCAATAAGAATTCTCAGCGCTGTCTCCCTCCCAAATCTGGGCTGTTGTACAAGTCTGCTTCATTTACAGGTTAAAGACGCCGTAAGCTCTCAAGTTGTTTAACAAGCTGTTATTCCAACTTTTTTTGTAGCCCATTTCCTGGGCTGACCTTGTGGATGGGGTCCACGCCAGTTTTACCCATGAGAATGTTTGCGGCTATTCTTTATAGTCATTAAGTCTGCTGTTGGGTTCCTGTTTGGGAGTGGAACCAAAGGAAACAGTATCAGTGGGAGCATCACTTCCTCACTGGTACGACAGTTGTTCCCCATAGTGCCCTACTTTGGAGGGCATAACCTGATTTGGATGCACTGCTCAAAAGAATTCGAAGAAACAAGTGCAAATACACCCCCATCTTCTTAAAAAAAGCAGTGGTTTTAAAGCACTGTACTGACTTCACTTGTCAGTAGAGAGCGGAGCATCAGAGTTAGCAATGCAGACATTAATGGAGATGAGTTTATCTTGAATTTACTGCTAGAATAAACGATCACTGCTTGAAAGTGAGCCGACACTGCAGTTATCCAGAGGTTATCTTCTTTAATCTAAAGCTACTGCAATTGCAACACAGAATGCTGGCAGCCAAATGCTTTTGGAAGTCAAGTATAATGACTATATTACATCCATATTGTTCTATTTGCATAGGCAACTACCTATTACTTTCCCAGCTCAATTTAAAGTGTTGCTTTGGATGCCAGGTTATTTAAAAGACCATGTGCACCCTTATGAGCCGGGCCCTGAAATGGGCTTGGGAGCATCTACTCTGTGGCCTGCCCTCAGGATTTTTCATCTTGGCCAGAGCAACGGGCCTTTTCAGTAGTGCTTGCACATCTTTGGAACCATGTCCTTTGTGCTTACCTTTAAACTGACCTTAAAACGCTTTTCGATTAACCTAGGATTTTATAGATGTTAGCTGCCACCATTTTTATGAAGTCAGTTTCAAATGATTTCAATGATGATTTTGATTACGTACTGTCACATGCTATTTTTTACTCTAAACTTCTGAAAACAACCTTATTTTCTTCAAGAGAAGTTGCTTCACAAATTGTTTTTGTTGATTGTCGACTGCAGCAATAAAACTGCTATCACAGCTTGCCGAAGCACAGCAGATGTGGTTTCAAACTGGATGTCGAGATTCCTGTGGGGTTGGACTAGATGACCCTGGGCTCCCACAGCTCTACAACTCTATGATTCTATGTGATATACATTAGGATCTGCCCCGCTCCATGGATCCTGAGGTGGCCAACTCACTTTGCCTCATGGGTGAGCTGCCCCTGCGCCTTAATAAATTGTGCCGGCCATAAACATTCCTGGATAGCTCTTTGGTTAGAGCGGGTGCTGATTTAACACCAAGGTGGAAGGTTCAATCCCTGTATGTGCCAGCTGCATATTCCTGCATTGCAGGGGGCTGGACTAGATGACCCACAGGATCCCTTCCAACTTGACAGTTCTAGAATTCCACCAATCAGGGCGATACCTCTCGTACAGGTGAGGTTTTGCAGGAGGGTTTGACTTGCCTGGGTCGCTGATGGGCCAGGCCCAGGATTCCAACGTTAAGCAGGGGGAGGAGCCAGAAGGGGAGATGGGCGGAGCCACAGCTTGCGGGTTCCTATCGTTTTCCCGCTCTTCTAAACAGGCTCAACGGCTAATGCAGTGGATAATTTGGGCGGGGGGAGGGGGCGGGGTCGCGCACGCGCGCCGCGCGGCGTGACAGCCTATAACTGCCGCGGGTCGCCGTGTCCGACCTTTCACCCTGACGCTGACGGCTCAACGCGGAAGCGCGATGGCGGCGGCAGAAGGGCCGGCAGGCGGCAAGAGCGGCGCTTCCCCGTCGGCTGCGCACCGGAGGCTGCGGATCCTCTCGGGCCACCTGAGGAGCGGGCCGCCGGAGGCGCACCTGTCCGCTGCCCAGTGCCGAGGGCGGGCGGCGCCGGCGCCGGCTCGCCCTCAGCCGAGCACCTTCCCCAAGAGGCGGTAAGCGGGTGGGGCGGCGGGGGAAGCCTGGGCGAGGGCGGTTCCTCCCCGGTGGGACGCCAGCTGGACGGGGGCTTCCCGAGACTGTTGGCAAGGCCTCGCCCCGCCGCCCCTCGCGGAAAGGGCCCGAACCCGGTGCTTTCCTTGCAAGAAGAAGGGGACGGAGAGGCAGGAAAAAGCCGTTGCCGCTTTCCGCTATTCCTCCCTTTGGCCTCATTTAATCCGAAAAGAGAGTTCGGGGGCACACTCAAGTCTCATTTCTCCATAGCATCTGAATTAGGAGATCATATGTAGGCCCTGGGCCAGTGCCTGGGTTATTAGAAATCTAGCCGACAGGGTCTGATTGGTTGGGTCCAGAGCATGGTTAATGCTTCATTACTTGCGGGGGGAATGGTCTCTGATGTCTTGAAAAAGGTAGGTGTGTGGCTTCTCCTAAAGAAACCGACTTTGAACACCTTAGACTGGAACAACTGTTGACCAGTAACAAATACACCCTTTTGGAGGAGGATGGGGCAGCTGCAAGCATGTTTTGATAGCGGATTATTTAGATCTGTTCTAATCTGGGTTCAGGTCTGGCCATGGGCCTGAGTTGCCCTTGGTCTTCCTAATGGATGATATTTGCAGTGGGTGTGTGTGAGCTTGATCCTGCTTCTTGATCTCTGGCTTTTGAGACCATCGACCATGGTATCTTCCCTGACTGGCTCAAGAATGGGAATTTGGAGCACTGTGTTACAATGATTGTGGTGCTGCTTCTGGGACTAAGGAGAGTGGGACTGGGAAAGTACTTTCCAGGCTTCTGGAGGTTACTTTATGAAGTGCTGCAAGGCACTATCTTAACTCCATTGTTGTTCAACACCTATATGAAGCTGCCAGGAATAATCATTAGGAGTTTGGAAACAAGGTACCAGCAGCATGCTGATGACAGACAGTTCTATTTCTCCATAACATTTGACTTGGGAGAGAGCATTGGAATCTGCATGAAAGCAGTGGCGAGATGGATAAGGAAATATAAGCTGCATTTGAATCCGGGCAGGATAGAGGCACTGTGGGCGAGTGGTTCCTGTGCCTGAGAAGTTGCTATGAGCTTCTGGTGCCATGTCCAAATAAAGAACTTGTACATCTGTCCCCACTAAGGTAGGAACTCTATACAGTGGTACCTCGGGTTAAGAACTTAATTCGTTCTGGAGGTCCATTCTTAACCTGAAACTGTTCGTAACCTGAGGTACCACTTTAGCTAATGGGGCCTCCCGCTGCAACCGCCGCACAATTTCTGTTCTTATCCTGAAGCAAAATTCTTAACCTGAGGTACTATTTCTGGGTTAGCAGAGTCTGTAACCTGAAGCGTCTGTAACCTGAGGTACCACTGTATAAGGATACAGCTTGTGCATTATACTGCAGGGAAGACACACCCACCCACCTTCCTGTGTTGGACAAGAAACACAAAAGTTGAGAGCGCAAGTCAGTTGATGGTAATGTCCAAAGTAGCTCAGATTCAGTTTCCCCCATTTCTGTTACATGAAAGTCTTGAAGACCAAGTTAGTTAAATAGGAGTTATGGGGGGTGCGGTGGGGTAGGGTGTTTGCAGTTTATATATCTATGAACCTGTAGAGAATAAACCCATTTATGATAGCATTTATTTAACTTAACAGTGAATTTGGTATTTCATATTTCCATTATTGAAGATTATACTAATATGCCACTACAGTAGTGACATCTTGATTAGTAGCTGCTGCTTGGTTAGACCCAGAGTTCCTTGTTTGAATGCTTGAAATTTAGTATTCCTAATTAATACTTGACAGACCACCATAGAACATGAACAGGATGGGGTAGAATAGCCAGGTAGTCAAATCTCCTGTCTGTTTAAATTTTGGTGAACAAACAGGGCAATGTGTCTGAAATACTTACAAGGTTGGGTGGTAACTCTTTCTCCTACAGAATTTTCTTAATTAAAATTGCATACAGTATGCATAAGATTTCCCCGCCAGGAAATAGTGCATTTTTGTGGAGAGTTCATTGGAAAAGCAGTGCAAGGAGAGTGGTTTAACCTCTTTCCCACAGTGCCATGGCCGAGATCTGGATTGGATTCTCCTTCAGCTGCTATTTGCTGAAATTCAAAGCAGTGGAACGTCCACTTATGAATCTCAAGCATCTTGTCTTGATTGGCTTTAAGAAACTTGTTGACTTTATCTAGATTTACTCTCAGTGCATAGTGCCAACAGCTCCCTCTCCCCCGATACCTTTTCTTAAGAAATCAACCTTTTATTTAGGTAAGGATATTCAGACTGTGAGGCAAATGGTTACAAAACAAAATGTGAATTACTTTGCTTGTTAAGGGAGTTTCCTGGTGGGCAGTAGGAGTTCACGGAATGTGTCAAGAGAAGAGTAGGGTAGCTGCACTGTGAAAGGACTGGAAGTAAGTGAACAGAAAAATCATACCTTAAATGACAGCAAAGCCTGGTATACAATGATGTGCATTATCATTAAGTATTATGTGTCCTGCTAAGATATTATCACATGATCTCTTTAACCCCCGCTTTGCCCCTGGCAGGAGCAAACTTGCTATCTAAAGTACTACTGACTGTATCTTCAGTCATGAGAAGCCAGTTGCCCAAGAGAGACCAGCCCATAGGCAAGGAGGTCATTAGCAGTTTTTGACTCCTACTTGTTCCTATGATTTAGTAAGCTTTTGCATGACAGCATTGATGGGCTCAGGTTGTTCCCGAGGCCGCAGGTAGTGCAGAATGTGGTGGCCCTATGCTGCTCAAGCCCAGTATACTTGCCCTGTCTTAACCCTTATATACCCAGTAGGTTACTGCATCTTGCAGGAGCGTTTCTCCTTCAAGTTCTGAAGATCTCAAAAGCTTGCTCTACAGTAACAGAGAGCTATGCCCCTTCTGTGGAGTGGCACTCCAGTTGAAATGTGACATGTACCTTCCTTATTCACTTTTTTTGGAAACAACGACATTCTTGTTCCGTTAAGTAATTCCAGCTAGATGAATAGGTTTCTGTGTAGGTGTCCATTCTGTATTTCTTTCGTTAGTTTTGTGCTGTTCTGTTACTGTTTTTAATGTATTTGGGACATCACCTTGGGCATATGTGAAAGTGAGAAATAAGAACAACGTTCTTAAACACACACACTTCTCTTTTTTCTGCAGCTGGAGGTTGCCTGGTGGAGAAGGAGAAACCATTGGCATTCCAAAGGGGTGGAGGGAAATTCCCAGCTGGTGGATCAGTTCCAGAACCAAGCCAACCTCTGTGGGCCATTAGACTATACCTACACTGTTGACAAGCCTATACTGCTTCCTTTTACCATCCAAAGAGGAAGCAGAGGCAGATCTCTTAGTTCTGTGGTTCATAGCACTAAGATCAATATGTCTGTTCTTAGTTCAGGAAAACCAGATCTCCATGCCTTATGTCTTATGATGACAGGCAACAGGTGTGTGTGATTTGCTTTTCTTCTGCTTACTTCCAACAGGACATAAAGCAGGAAATTTCAGCAGCACCAGGCATGGCATGCAAGAGGACTGGTGTCTTCTATTACTGTGTTTCTACATTCACATGCCTCTGTCAGGGGTCCTGCTTGCTGTAACTACTGAGACCAAGAAAGTACACTGAGATTCCATAGCTGCTGGCAAGAAATGTGTTTTTGGTCCCCCATTACACGTTAGGCAAATGAGTTGTCATGCTAAGTCATACTCAAACCCATTGGAAGAAATGGTCCTAAGATAGTCATGACAGTTTTAAGTCCACTGATTTCAGTGCATCTACTCAGATTATCACACTGTTGGCAAGATCCATTCATTGACTCCCTTAATTTATACTACAAGTGAAACTTCAGACTGAGTGTTTGGTATTTTTGAAAGTCCCTTACTTTCAAAGTCTCCCTTAAAGACTTTTTAAAAAAATGGCTGTAGATTCTGTTGCAGATCTTTAAAGAAGAAAAATGTTCTGCTGCATATATTTTGTTTGGGTGATATTAGAGGTCCACTAAGTTTGGATGGGCTTGGTACTCGGTTATTGTTTCTAGTAGCCAAATTTTTGATGCTGTATGGAAGCAAAGTTCATTTTGTCTTAGCCATGTAGTTTCACATTTCAAGCAACACATTCATCAGAGGATTAAAAATAGAAAACAAGAAGATGAAATTTTTTCAGAGTTGGAGAATCTCTTAGCTGTTTGAAAAACTTTCTTCAATATGTATCAAGAGCACATTTCTTACTTCAATCATTATCAGCTACTTAATGGCATCTCCTCTTAAGCCAACTGTCAGATCATATTTCAAATGAACATTTTAACCAACAAGAGAAAGTCTCAGTAGTGATTTATAGGAGTTTCAAAAATAATTGAAGAAAGGAGGATTTGCTGGTCTTTGCCCTAGGGACTGAACTCCAGGGTTATTGTGGGGTTTGGGCAAGGTTATGTTTTTTCCATCCCCCTGTCACTCATCCACGTTCCTCAAAGATTTCTTGGGCGCACGGCAGGGAGTAATCCTTCCAGAACATTTGGAAATTATTCCTGTTATCTTTGTCCCTCAGATATAATAAGATACAGTAGCCATCACTAATCACCACTTAATTATCTCTGCCAAGGGTCTTGACAGAGATGACTAACCAGCCATGAGGTCTCCCCAGAAGTCCTGAAACCCACTAGATTTCTGTGGTTGTAAGTTGTTTACAGTTTAAGTTTTTGATACTGTCTTAATTGTTGTACCTGCCCTGGGACATTGGGGAAAAGTGCGAGATGGCGGCAAAATTATTATTATAAGCTGCAACCCAAGATAAAAGGGCACACCTAGCTACTTTAAAAGAATTGAGATTCACGGATGCTGTGATTACTAAGAACCAGCATGGTTTCTCAAAAACAAGTCATGCAAGACGAATCTCTTTCCTTCTCTCTCTGGATAAAGCTACAAGCCTGGTGGATCATGGGAATGCTATGGATGTTGTGCACCTTGCTTTCAGTAAGACAAAGTTTCCCATCATATTCTTGTAGAGAAGCTGGT